CAAACAGCATTTAGACGGTTTAAGACTCCCTATGCCCGCGCAGCTGAAGAGGTCAGAGACTTGATCTCTCCGCGCGGGCCACCATGTTGGATCTGAGTTTTAGAACATTCTTTTGATTAAAAATTTATACCTAACCATTCTCTTTCCACTGATAACTGAGTACAGTTAAGTTTTTCCTATATGATCTCAATTTATTTGTGGTACTCACCAACCATTCTGTTATTTATACATGGTTTCTGCGTAGATTTTAATGCTGCCTGTTAGTCATGAAAGTAGTAGAAAGAGAATGGATTCTTGATTTTGCTTCTGCTTAATTTTTGGTAATGTCATCGTAGGCAAGTAAAGTAAGATCATGCACAGTGTGGCACATAGGAGTTGTGATCTACGTTATCTCAGTGAATTTTTTTTCACTTATAATTTTGAGGATCATTTTGATCTTAAGCTGAAAAGACATAAACTAAAACTTGGTTTGAGGCTCAATTTTCTCCCATCTCTTTTGTAACTTTGATATTTTCTTATGTGTGTCTCTATTCAAAGATGAAAATTTCTACTTGATCTCTTTAAATAATTTCTAAAGTGAGAATGTCTCTGTCTAGTTTGACTTGTGGCTTCACCACAATACACACTGCAGAGAAGTTTTCCTACCTCTCCGTATGATAAACTGAGTGTTAGAGTTTAAGTTGAGCTGGTTATCCTGAAAATTGGTGGTGATTATGAAAGATGATTTATGTGTGCATGTGGCAGGAGGGAATTGCTGATTATCTAATTAATCTGAACATCTTTGTTTCACTTATCTGGTCAAAAACTTTAGAAATTACATTGCATGGTGTCAGAAGGACAGTGAAAGCCACTGTGTCTAAGCACTCACTGTGTGCTTTTTTTCTAATAATGGGACCTTTCTTCTAAAGAGGACTATCAGTTTCTCTGCCTGACCTTCAAGTCCTTAGGTATACCTTCCTCATGCTTCTCTTCAATGCCAGCTTTTCACACAGCAGTTTCTATCTGAAAAGAAATCACACAGCAATACTTCCATACTTAGATATTGTTCAAACTGTTTTCTTTTTGAGGACATTCCATTTCTCTCTTTTTTTGTTCCAAACCAAGCTCATTTTTTTAAATTAGAAATTCAGACTCACAGGCCCTTATCCTAGCTAAATCTTCAGATATTAGAAATATGACTGAAAAACTCTCAATATCTTGGTATCATATAAATATCTTGGTACAGGGCCTTCCAAAAGAGAATTATATTAACAAGGTCCTCAGGACATTTATATGCATACAAATATTTAAAAGAGTGGAATAGTTGATTCTTCAGTTTTCAAAGCAAAAACATTCAGCTTGTATTTGGTATGAAAACAAGGTGTAATAATTTTTGTATAGTTCATAGAGCTCTAGTAGACTATTGCCAAAGAAATGAGCTTCAGCTGGGGAAATGATATTGGCCAAATTTTATTGTTCTATTTTATTTTTATATTTGTGCAAATGGGATTTCTTTTAACCTATTTGTACATGCACAAATGTAACAATAATGTACCAATGAACATATGAAAATAGAAAAACAAAACAAAAATACAACTCTGAGCTACATATTTCACTTACTATCTATAGGCCCAATAACTTTGGACAGATTTTGTCTTTCAAATTAAAAAAATTATTATACATTATAGTCATATATAATAGAGAGGTTTATTTTGACACATTTATAAATGCATATAACAAAATTTTCTCCATTTCAATTCCTATTACTTCCCCTTTCCTTCTACTCCTTCCTTCCCAATATGCGTTCACTACTCTACTGGTCTTCTCTCTACTTATTTTCTGTTTTTAAATTTTTAAAAAAATGGTATATTATTGTTTTATATAAAAGTAGAATCCATTGTAATATATTTACATATACACATAGTATAATTTGATGAACTTCATTTCACAGTTCTTCCATATTTCCATCCCTCCTCTCTCTCCACAATCTTTCCCCTCCATTCTACTGTTTCCCTTTTTATTTTCCCAAGATTTCCACCCACCCCCCTTTTTAATAATTCCTTATTTCTCTCTAATTTAGGATATGAGAAAAAAATCCAGCCCTTCACTTCCTGAGTCTGGGCTATTTCACTTAGCATGATGTTTCCCAATTATGTTCATTAACCTGCAAATGACATATTTCATTCTTCTTTTTGGCTTAGTAAAACTCCATTGTTTATACACCACATTTTGTTCACCCATTTGTCTGGTGACAGGTACTGCGGGTGGTTACATAACTTGGCTATTGTACATTCCACTGCTATAGATATTGATATGTATGTATCACTATAGTATGCTGATTATATTCCTTTTGGATAAGTACCAAGAGTGGGATAGCTGGTCATATGATAAATTTGTTTGCTTTTGATAAAGTATTATGTTCAATGCACGCATATATATATATATATATATATATATATATATATATATATATATTTAAGCATGATAACCATTTTCTTAGGTTTATATAAACAAATAAATCATCATGGACAACACTTAAGTCACAGAATAAAACAAATGAAGAGAGACTATGTTTTATTCTCCATCACGTATGCCCAGAGCTGATCTATGCAATGATTGTGTTCAAGAAAAATGAAAGAGTAAGAGTGGGATGCTTCTATGAGATCAACAGTTAACTTCATCTTTGAACAGATGTTAAATTGCCAAATATGAGGTTCAATTTGCTGTGGTTAAATGGTTGCCCTTTTAAAATACACATTTATCTGATGGAAAAGAGAGTAAAATTTTAGGTAGACAAATAAATATATTTAAATTTAACAAACCTGCTTTAAAATTTTGAATGTTGCTTTTATAAATTTTCTTGGAATTCTATTCTTTATTATAGTTGGCCTTCCCCACTGTTCTCACTGGGATTGACGAAATGAAGTAGTCAGGTTCGTTGTCTGTAATATTCTAGGGCTTTTGAAAAGTCAACAGACAGTGTTGTCCATAGTAAGAAAAGTTGCTTCTGAATTTGCTTCTGATCCTAGATAAATCTTCAGATATTAGAAATATGACAGAGAAACTCTCAATATCTTGGTATCATATTTTAGGTACTCTGTGGAAGATAATTGAATGACACTATTGAAGCACTCTGTCACCCTAGAAAAATGATTCTAAAGATATATTTTATATTTTTTGCTTGACCCTGAAAAGATTTTGTGTTGGAAGTTCCTTTGACATTGTGAAAGCTGGGACATGAATAAGATAAATCAGACATTTTTGACAGAATTCATTCTTCTGGGACTCTCTTGTTATCCGAAACTAGAGCTCATTTTCTTTACTCTGATTCTAATTATATACCTAGTGATTCTAAGTGGAAATGGTGTTCTGATCACAGCAAGCATCTTTGAGTCTCATCTTCACACTCCTACATACTACTTCCTGGGCAACCTCTGCTTCCTGGATATCTGCTACACATCATGCACTATTCCTTCAGGATTGGTGAGATTGGTCTCAAAGAAAAGAAACATTTCCTTCTCTGGATATTCAGTACAGATGTTCTTTGGATTTGCAATGGGATCCACAGAATGTTTTCTCCTTGCCATGATGGCTTTTGATCCCTATGTGGCCATCTATAACCCTCTGAGGTACCCCATCATCATGAGTAAGGGGGTGTGTATATTGATGGCCTCTGTATCATGGTTGTCTGGTGGAATCAATTCAGCTGTGCAAACCTCTCTTGCCATACGACTGCCTTTCTGTGGGAAGAACATTATCAATAATTTCACCTGTGAGATCTTAGCTGTCCTCAAGCTGGCTTGTGCTGATATATCCCTCAATATTATTACCATATCAATATCAAATATGGCCTTCCTGGTTCTCCCATTGCTGGTCATTCTCTTCTCCTATGTTTATCCTCTACACCATCTTGAGAATGAACTCAGCCACAGGGAGACACAAGGCCTTTTCTACCTGCTCAACTGACTGTGGTGATCATATTCTTTGGTACCATCTTCTTTATGTATGCAAAAACCCAAGTCCCAAGACCTGAATCGGGAAGATAAGTTGCCAACTTCAGACAAGCTTATTCCTTTGTTTTATGGGGAAGTGATCCCAATGTTGAACCCTATCATCTATAGCTTGAGGAATAAGGATGTTAAAGCTGCTGTAAAACATATGCTAAACCAAAAAGGTATTCAATAACACTATCTGAAAATGCAAGAGGTACAAGATGGACTCATGTTAAAATTGATGGGAATATTTTGGTAGAATCCCAGGAAGAAATATTTTATTCTGTCTTCATTATCCTTGTTCAGCAAGAATGGTTGAGAAACACAATTTGCTACAAACTCTGTTTCCAACATGTCATGATCCAAATCTCATAATCATCATGAATCCCATTTGAATCCCATTCTTGGTGATGCCTAAAGAGAGTTTTCCTAGTGGACTGTGTGGATCAGCAGAGAACAGTCACCTTTAAGCTTTGGAAACAGGGAGAAAAGAGCACAAATTCTCCAATTCTGGCTAAATGAAATTGGAGAAATTATTCATTCTTTCTAAACCATACTTGTCTTACTTATAGTAAATAAATAAGTAAAATACAGTTCTTAATGTCATATAATTTCAATCACTTGGAAAAAAACAATTGACATAGTACCAGCATCATACTGTCTTCAAATTTCCGAACTGAAACTGAGACTGTATATCAAGTACTGAAAATTAATAGTTAGCACCTCTTATTCTAAACTAATAATTACTAAATTCAGGTTGCCCTCTGTAAAATTTGCCCTATTAATATAAATCACATCCTTCTTGATAACCCTCCAATATCTATGTAAAGAGATCAGGCCAGAAGAAATCTGTAGTGTAAAATGAATGTTGGGAGCTATTTCACTATTGTCCCAGTGAGAGGAGAGAAACTATTCCAACTGAAGCTTAGTGAAGAGGCTGAGAAGAGCCTCTTAAGATTTTGAGAGCTTACAAAGGAAGGAGAGTCTGACTTCTGGCTTGATGAGTGAAAGCCTAAGAAGGTCTGAAGGATGCAGACTAGCAGAGAAGCTAGTTTAGTGGAGAGAGGTGGGTGGGTATTGCAGACCAGAAATAAACAGAAGCATTTCAAATCTGCCTGAGGTATT